CTCCCGTGAGGCCAGGGCCCCTTCCAGGACAGTGTGTCTCCTGCACAGACACAGGCACACACACACACTTGGGGTCTCAGTCGACTCCCAGACCCTACAGTCTCTCTGACAACTGGCCACGACTCCCCTGGCCCTCCCTTTATTCCCCTCCTTTCCCATGCTTTTTGCTCTGCAAATCACCCTGATCCCTCCCTTTAGTTCCTCCCATAAATATCCCATAATAAGTCTTGTGTAAACCCCAAATGCTCTCCCTTCACATGCATCGATACTGTGTCCCATGACTTTAGTAACTCCCCCTCCACCCCCATCTGTAAGGTGATCTGGAGAGCTGCTCCCGTTCACTTATTGGATAGATGTCACCCTGGGACCACACCGGCTTTCCTGGGACAGCCCTGGGGGGACCCAGGGCAGGGCATGATTTGGGTTCCTCCACCTGCCATGTGCCACTGTGCTCCTCGTGTGTGTGGTGATGAGCTTTTTATTACGTAACCTGCCACTAAGTGCTATCAACCTCAGAACAAGAGTCAGGCCTTCACCCTCCATCCACACCAAGCGTGCACGTGGTGTTGGGTGCTCCTGGTGTCCAGCCACAGCCTGTACAGTAGGGAAATGACAGTGGATTTACAAACCATTCTCGGTACTATGTACATCGGTCAACACCACTGCATGAGCACACAGGCTATATTACAGATTTGTTCACATTGCAAACTTCTTCAGGGTATAATCACATTGACGCTTCTCTCTCTCTCTCTCTCCTCCTCTCAGGAACATTCTGCCAAAAAAAATTCTATGAATTCCAGTGAACTGTGGTACTCTACTGTCAGCCACGATGTAAAACATAAAGCCTCTGTGATTAACACCAATAATCAGACAGAATATGCATTTCTCAACGTGTCCAAGAGGAAGGAAAATATTGCCAGCGCTGAAGAGCACAGTGAATATGATTATGTCCTGATAACTTAGAAAGGGACACTTTCTGCTCCCAAGGCACTCTTTTACTTGAATGCTTAAGCCAGCAGTGTGCAACCTTGCTAACCATCGTACCTCTGCTGTCAGGTCTTCAGACAAACACCCCTCTCATGTTACTGAGCTTACTCATTAAGACACATCTGCCAGTGGTTTCCAGTGAGGCAAATCTGTCCATGAAAAGGTGATCACAGAAAGAGACGTGCACAGGGTACAGGACTTGACAATTAAACCAAGAGGAATCAGTAGCAAAAGCCATTGTAAGACAGCGTTTCTCTATAGAAAATTAGGTGCTTCATTACTAGAAGCAACTGAGGCTGCACATTTTTCCGGACTTTTACAGCACTTTTTTTTAAAAAGGGGTCTTACAGAACTACTGATAGAAGTCTCAAAAATGCAATAACAACACCCCTTGTTGTTGGGATTTTTGTTTGGGTGTGGGGGGGTGTTTTTTAAATTAAAGCATAGACCCTGTGTTAGGTGCACTTAGTCTTTTCCAAAGTTTCTCTGGCCTGCTTGATAAATACCATTATACAATGTACAATTTCAATAAATAACTGATTTCTCAAATTGCCCCCCCCCTTAAATGTAATACTACTTATCTCAGCATGAAGTCTTAATGAAGTTGGAATTAAATAAAACAGCAACAAACTACATGCAAAACAAAAATTCCAGCCACTTGGAAGATTATGAAACCTGATGCTGCACAGGCAGTAACTCCACACCTCTCAGCAGAAGATTCCCAGGTGTCGCCTCCGGGACACAACGCTTCCAGCTCACTCCTGCTGGAGTCTCAGGTTTGTCTCTCTGCCATGCCAAACCATAACCTCCCCATAGCCCATCACCCCTCTGCAAGCAGCATTTCTGGACATGCACATAGGACTGAAATCCGTTATTCAACTGTTCACCAGAGCTTATAAAGTGATTATGTGCCTGTGTTCTTGGTTGAGCATGTTTTTTTGCTCCCTCCATTTTTGTAATAAAAAAATTTGGAAGAAAATGTTGAACAGTTTTCCTGATTTTAAATCTTCCTTCGTATGTGATTGCTGGCTGCAGCTCTGGCTTTACGGTGTAGCGCCTTTGCGATTCCCACGTGCAGTTTCAGTGCCGGGGGCAGCCCCACGGGTGAATGGTTGCAGGCAGCAGTGGACAGACAGACTGCTAGCATGGTGCAGGCATCACTCTCTGCAGGTACCGCTGCAGTGACAGGCAGCTGAATCTGCCCAAAATTTGTACCGGCTGCTGTGGCTACACAGATGACTGCCTACCATGGGATTTTAAAGGGCTGGTTGTACTCTCCACAAGCTGAATTACCAGAACTCTCTTTTCTCTTCCTTTTTAACAGTGTCTCCGTTGCCTCAGTCATTAAAGTATTACCCACACTTCTTCTATTAAAATTAACATTAAGCATTCACACAAAATATCTAACTTGATGAAATAATGTGTTTTCACACTGCTCTGTCCCTAATGGATGAGGTCATGATTAATTCACTTGGTTGTTTTCTTTTACATGATTAATTTACCTCAAAGATATAAAACCAGAAACCACTTTTTGTCATTTTTTGACATTTCCTTCAATGTGAGTTCAAAGCTTGACTGGAGGTAGACTGTAAAGTTGGGCATTTTCTGTTGAGTATCACAACATCTTGCTGCAACTCCACCTCCTTCTTTCCTGTGAATTGCTGGGGTAAAGGTACTGGGGCAGAGGAGGATGGCTGGAAAAAAAATGAATGCTTGGCTCCTTTTTTTCTGTTGACTCTTAATGCACATAAGTCTATCACCATAAAGAAGCATAATCATTATATTATTTTTCAGTTCTTAGAAACAGAATCAAGATAAAGAAGTGTTCAAGGGCAGGTTCAGTCATCTTAGTAAGAGCAATAAGATCAAACAACATCTCAAGGTAAATTATTTCTTTGCTGCTGGTATTTTCATAGCCTGCTACTTTTGGGACAAACCATACAAACCATGAATTTTATCCTTCCCCAATGTAAGAATCAAAAGGAATATCTCTTCTAGTTGTATGCTGTATAGAATATTGCATCAAGAGAAATTATGGTTCTTACAGCCAACGCTGTGTCTTACAAATCAAGATGGGGTCAGAATTAGCCACAGATATAAGATCCATGTGAACTACGAATTTGGTCCAGGCTGTTTCCCAAACTCAGTTAAAACTCAAGCAACAACAAATACGGGTTTGAGTGTACAGGTCTGTCAGACAGAAGCTTCATACAGCTCTCAGCATGTAGAATTCTGATGGTTATTTTCCAACTCAAACAGCTGAAAGACTGGAGCTGCTGAAGAATGAAAACAATCACTTTAAGAGTAAAAATAAATAATTTAATGCACAGTAAAATTGTCAGATTACTCCTTAAATAAACTAATAATATTAGAAAAAGAGAAACAATTTCCCGTAAGATATTTCTCACAATACAAAAGGTTTCTTAAAATACATTTGTCTATCTAACAGTACTAACATTTATACTGGCTATAAACAAATGACAAGAAGCTATACTTCACTAACATGGTAGTGAATACATTCCATTCCGCATAAGGTTAATGCTTAATTTTTAATTTTCATGTTATAGCCAGTTACTAGCTATAACTCTCATGCCACGCTGGCCTACATGGTCTGCTTCAGCACCTTTCTCTTGGCATTGGTCCATCTCATCTGATCTCTTGTCAACAAGAACAACTATTTGCTGCCTTATTAAGGCAAATATCTTGCATCTGTTCATTTTTACCCCCACTGCTGGACAGGGACTATAATTAAAGATATAGACTAGTTTCTCTTTGAATTTACAAATGCCAGTCAAATATCTGTCTGTTCACTAGTACCAGTAGCTAATTATTAAAGCACACAGGTAATTTGACCCTTGAAAGATTCCTGTGGCGTTCAGATGCGTTAGTGAACAAGACATGTTTCTTCCCGATGTTTCTTCCTTCATTTCTATTTCACATTACAGAAGAGAAAAATGGAGCAGATACCACCTTATCTAGGAAGACTGTAGGATGAACAAGGGAATGATGAGAGCTGAAGCTCACTTAAGAAGCTAGTGCAAAGGTCTTGCATGTAATCAAAGAAAATAGAGAGGATATTTAAGTTTTCAGGCTGTTTTATGAGGAAAGAACAACAGGGAAACATGGCATATGAAGTTAGCAGGGAAAAAAGTAAGAGACATGAGCATGGGTGGAAGTGAGCATTAAGGATGAAGCTGTGCAGATAATTTTGGATAAGCCAAGAGAAGAAGAAAGGAGCCACGTGCAAGACTGCTTTTAAAGCTCGTGCAGGAAATCCAGATTTAATCGTAAGGCAAGGCAAAGCAGAGGTTTCAAAGTCAACAGAGCATGCATCAGACAAGATACATGATTTTCACGAGTGAAATGGGTTATTGAGATATCAGGACAACAATAAAGAAGGAGGTAGCGGTGTTATAGGAGTACAATACTGTTATAAATATACCACATTTTCCATTTACAATTTTGCATCATAGACAGTATTTACAGGACAACATCTTTAGAAGTGTTTCTACCTAATTAATAGCTCCCTACCCTGGGATTACTAATAGATAGGAGAAGCCCATCTCTTCTAGGCAGCGAGGGAGATGAGGAGTCTTTCCCATCATTTCTCTGAAAGTTAAAATAGTATATTATTAACATTAAAATGAAACTTTAGTTAGACATTTCAGCATATTCTTTCCTGTCCCTTTTACACTGCATTTTCTATGAAACCTGTCAATATGTAAGGAACAAAATTATACTGAGAATTGGAACTCATGACTTGTTGCTCTCTTGTCCCTTGATAAGAGTACCACGGAAAATCAATACGAGTTAATTGCAAATCTTACTTATATACACCGTATGGTGATGTGCTAGACTAGAATTATTCTGAAAACACATAGGTGTGGCTCAGTAAGTTGGGGGTGTGGGGAAGCAGCTGCATGCATTGTTTTCAGTAAAACTGCAAAGCTCATAGGACTTTTATACTGACATTTCAATTAAGTCAAATTTAAATGCATTAGAATCACTACTAGTCACCAGTAGCCATTGGAATCACTACCTAGAAAACCTGGAAGAAAGAACATTTGGTTCCTTTAAAAGGAATAATAAATTTTCAAAAAAAACCTCTGAAAAGACAAAAGTTGGGAGGCTTTTTCATCCTTGACTGTGGAAAAAAGCAGAAGTTCACTCCCAAATTACTTATCCTGTTTTATTCGGATTAAAATTTGTTTTATAAGCATTCAAATATGAATATACAATAAGGAGAAACATATTTAATTATTTGGCTCCCCGTTATGGTACACACACATATGAGGAGATTTTCTTTGTAGGCATAAAATGCAAGAGGAGATCTGAAAAGTTTGGTTGGACTCTGTAGCTAACCAGTCTCATCACTACTCCCTTTCTCATCAGAGGACCAAACAGTGAATGTTAGGTTATAAGCTAAGCATAGCAAGACTTTCTTGTAAACTGAATATTTTACAATTTTCTTAATACTGTTGTGCAAAATATATTTACTAACAAATCTCTACATATTTCCAGAAAGATTGCCCTCCTTTCAAGTAAATACTTCTGCTCTTTGTAAAGAAACAGTCTCTCTAACGTACAGCACTTACATGTTAATGTGAGAGAAGTCGGGTCAAGCTTTAACCTGTTACATTCAGATGTCCCAGGATTAAAAGCATCATCTTCATCATAAATATTTTGACGTAAAACATTCCTTATAAAATCTGGGTTCATTGTGTTTTCCATAAACTCCGCTGCTGATGGTGGTACAGAAAACTCTAGCTGATAAAATACAGTAGAGCTTTCATTACTGAAAAACAAAGTCAAGCATGAATGCCTTCAAGTCCCCACTGGATCTTTTCTTTTTTGAGAAGACTGACTTTTCATATCAATATTGGCATGGATTTTTTTTAAACTTGTTCTAAAGAAAAGCATTATAAAAGAAAACTGCCATCAAAGATTCCAGTTTCCTCCTCCCCCTCCCTTCTTAGAGCAGCCCTTGACATTAACAGAAACTGGGCACATACCTGAAGCCAACCTGAGACACATTTTCAAATGCACAAAGGGCAATTGGACATGTGTCCTAATGGGATGAGGTTTTCAGCACTCGTGCTTCACAAGTACATAACAATAAGAGGTGCTGTGATATCTCATGCATAGGTTAACAGAACCTGCAGAAAGATTTGTTCTCCTGCTAGCAGTACTTGGGGCCACCCAGCTGTGCTCCTAACTCAGCTCTGGAGTGGAGTGTGCAAACCACTGAACTGGAGTCCATCTTTGGAGATTTCATTGTTTGTGGTCTACCAATCCACCGACTACAACTCGACAGTCACATTTTGTACTCACAGAATTTAAAACATCCAAAATGTAGTTAGATGGGGGAAAAGAAAAAGGGACAGAGAGAGAGAGACAAGCTGGAGAGAGAGAGATCAGCTAGTCAATATATATGCAGAACTACGGCTTTGTACCTGATGGTTTAAATCATAATTTTTACCTGTAAGGCTAAGGAGCTACAGCTCACTCATTGAACAGAGCCGGCATGCCCAAGGCTGGCGGTGTAGGGGAGCACATTCCCCAAAGTGCCCTCAGGACTGCCTCTTGCTGCAAGCCAAGGGGGCTCTTCCTCTGTCCTTGCTCTCTTAAGGGCCTTGGGACTTCGCAAATCTACTTCCCTTGGTTTTCTCCCATCTTTCTAATCCCTTTTGCAACAGTGCTTTTTCAGAAGTCCTTGTGGAAACTCTCTGACTGCCTTCCCTTGCCTCTGTGCTATCTCTCCATGGCAGGACCATGCTGCAGCTGATCTTTCCAGCCCCACTTTTCCCTCTGCTGCTCAGCCTCCCTCCTGTTGTAAATCTGTGGTATCTCCATAGATTAACACTTCACAGTCTCAAACACTGTAAACTCCTTAGCCTTCCTCCAGTGCCAGTTTCTGCCGAGAGTAAGATCCTTCCTCTGTTCCAGCTTGAAGCTCTCTGTTGCCTCTGCAAGGCAGGCCTGGATGCTTTTCCCCTTCTTCCCACCACTGCTACTCCTCTGGCTCCACCAGACTCCGGTGGCTGAGTCTCTCCCACCCAGGCTAGCCTAGCCTCCACTCTGCCACCTGCTCTGCCTCTCACTCCTGTTCCCCCAGTCTCTCCAACACGTTGCTGCTTTGAGATTTGCTCCTGTTTTCCAAAATAAAGTGAGGGGGAAAAGTGGTCCAAACAAACCAGCAATACAATATTACTCTTTTGGCTCTCACGACTTGTATGTCCCTGTTGCCTTTAGCTCTTTTGGAAACAAAACAGTTCTCCCCTCCCCATGAACACTGTTTTATTTATTTAAGGCTATTTAAGCCATGTCAATCTCAAGTGGTTCCAGCACCTCATTTTCCTTTAAATAAATATGCTTGAATATGTATATTAAGGGCTGCACTTGGAACCAAAGACAACAGAGATGATACTTAACAGCACCAAAATGTTACTGTCATTATATATTATTAGCAGCTTTTGCCATTTACACCAGAGGATGCTTCGATGGTTTTTCACTACCTATATATGTAACTGTCCCCCAATCAACCTATATTTTGCAGATTTAAGTGTTGTGCATATTTACATAGGCACATGTATGTCTCATCAAAAGCCTGGAATTTTCAGATAATTTTGGTGACAGAAATTGCTTACCTGAAATAAACCACCTGAGCTGACCTAAAGTAGCGTCCTAGAGCTGGAGATGAACTGTAGACATCTGTTAACTTAGAGAGAAAAAAGAAAAGAAAAAGAAAAAAAATATTTCTTCCATTCATTCTCTCTTTTCCCCATAAAAGAAAGTACAGCGGATCATTCTTACAGGGTGTTTTAAGGTGCATAAACATAGGTGCTGAAGGTCAAATATCAGCAAATATCTGCCCTGGAAAAGGTACACAATCCCTTTAAGCTTGACAGACAAGTTAATCTGTGTGTTTGAGTGATTACTATATAACCTTAACAAAATGGAGGCATTCAGGGTGAACTAAAAGTATGTGCTCACGTTGCCACGTGCAATTTATGTTTGGCTTGGGTTTTTATTAGTACCAAAAAGCCCTTCTACTCTTGGTAGAGGGAAGGGTGTCTCTACTGAGACTCCCTTTCCACAATAAGTCTAAATCAGCACTGTCATGCCTGCTGAGCTTGTTTCAGCTGTAACTCAGAGCTGTGATGGCTCAATGGAAATGGCAGCTATAAACCCAGGCTGTCATCGTGTACTTACAGAAGAATGCAACACACAGGATGTTTAGCCAGCACTGGGTTTAGATGACCTTCACAGACCCCTCCTAACGTAAATTATTCAATGATTCTATGAAAAAGGTGAAGACTATGTCCCAAACATTACTCAAATTTGGGAAAAAAATATTTTTTTGGGAAAAAAAGGCTTTTTTTTTTTTTTTAAATCAATGTAAACTGCTTGTGTACTTAAAAGCAGACAATTCTTTTTTCTAGATCAGGACTTAAAATTATACCAGAAAAAGTACAACTCAGAATTTTTTGTGGACTTGCAAATGACCGAGTTGCTACATAGAGAAACAGAAACTTCTTAAAAGGGAAAACACTGAATCTGTGTTACAAGCAGAAACAGCTTTGCCAAGAACCACACCAACACATACCCTCTTAGTAATGTCTTCGGAGAAAAAGTGTGGGAGACCACACATTAACTCCAACGTTCCTGAAAAATTGCGACAATTTTCACTATTTAGTAGTGCATCAGGATCCCAATAGTCATCTTCATCTGTGTAAACATCTAATATTCAAAAGGAGATAAAAAGGGGAGGAAAAAATTCCAGTTAGCAGAAGTTTTGGAAAAAAACCCTCTTGGCTTTCTTCAGGGTGGCTTTCTCACAAATTTCCTAGGTAATGACTGACTGAGAGTGACAGAAAGAAAGTGCAAGTCACTTGAGGAAAAGTGACAGCACATGGAGGTCAATCACCCACCCCCATTAGTGAAAGTCAGCTGCTTTGGGAGCCTGACAGTCACTGATACCACACGAGGGGACGTAAGTGATCCATTGCACTTGTTGCAATGCTACAAGCATCATTTCCATCCTCACCCCCAACCCTGTTCTCCTAACATTGTCTCACTAAGCTACAAACTGGAATTGCCATCTGATCAGGATACAAGTTGCTTGCTGCCTGCTAAAATAAAAGCGTTCATATCCACTACTCAACACACCATCCTCTGCAGTCAACATCCCAGTCCCTTCAGCAGTTTACAGAAGGAGTTTAAAGGATGCTACTGTTCAATCTGTGTTATATTAGATTGTACATATTGTACATTTTTATTAGAGGACGAACTAAGAGTGAGATACTTACTAGAATAAAGAATTAGGCTGATGACAATGACCAGGAAGAATACTAGAAAAATTGTAGTTATAACCATCCATAGTTTACACTTCCAGAAAACTACATTCCCGCATGATTTCCAGTGATTTCTCTCCTAGTTATAAAAGGAAGGGGTATGTTGATTAATGAAATAAGGTGGGAAAAAAAAATATTTAAGCATGTCTCTACTGTAACATTTAGAAACAAAAAACCCCACCTAGATGGGAGAGTCTCATTGGTAAGCAATGCCCTACACCAGGGGTTCCCACCCTTAAGCGCTGCTGCAGGTGGGAACGTAGACCTGTAGAAGGCAAAGGACATTCGCAGACAGGCCATTATTTGAAAGAGACGTATCATTCCCCATTTGTGCAGAATTTCCAATTCCTGAATTGCCCATAAAGCTAAGGTGCTACAAAGGTTCTTTCATGGCTTCCAAATTTTTGTTTAAACTACGTAGATTTGATTTGCATGTTCCACAAGCTGTCCTTTTAATGTTTCCCATCTCTCCCAACCAAAAAGGTGTCTGTGGAGGGATTTCCAAAATCATTTACCTCTGCGACGCTGGTATCATCAGTCTGTATAGCTCCTGGATGCCAGCACCCAAAGCAAGTGGACTGCTATTCATTAGATAATATTACATTAAAGAACACTGTAGAATAATTGAGACTTTTACAGCTGACTCCCTTTTTCTTCAAAAGATTGGAAACTTGAAGGCTATTGAGCACATTTACCAGAAAGTTTATTACAAATCTCATCTGTCCTAGGACATCACGAGGAAACTCTCTTGAAAGAAATTGTGCATGTGTGCACGTTCATATAGGAAAGAAAGGAGAGAAAGGACAATACCTGCCTTTCATTTAATTTTTAATAAGATGTAAGATCATGGCAGATCATGGCAGAAGTTAGTGTTTTATCAGTTACCCCAGCAGTACCAATATTAAAAAAGAAAAAAGCTTAGGTGATATAGCAAAACAAATTAAAAAACCCTCCAACTATTTTGTTCCACAGCCAGAAGATTGAAGGAAGGGCATGAATTCATAAGAAAGTAGACCATGCTGCCTTTTTAATTACTCCTCCTCCTCCTCCCTATCCACCGTAAACCCAGCTGTAAACTCCATGTCCTTTTTGACATCAGTACCAGGCGAGAAAAAGCACATGCTGTAGGTTGTCTGGGCCACACACGTGCAAGTTGGCAAGAACTAGCTGCTGGATGGAAGCACTAACCCACGTTACCTCCCTTTACTTTTTGAACTTTCTAAGAACCCAGCATAATAGAAAGCCTTTCACTGAATTTAACTGACATCCACCAGCTGGCTTAAAGCTTCTTTGGGGGTGGCAGATGAACAGGAGGAGAAAACAGACACCCACAGAAAGATCTTACAAGAGTCATTTCTCCAGGAGCGGAGAAAGGGAGAAAGGGAAAAACACTCTCTGCAGACACCCCTGCATGCAGAACTTTGCTTTGGCGGAGAACGAAGGGCAAAGGCTGAATATGGTTTTGCTTACAGCATGCTTTCAGGTGTAATCATGTTTACGTATGTATTATTTATCTGATTTTTAAAATGTATTAGAAGAATGAAGCTTCGATTTAATACTTGACACTAGCATATAATTTTGTATCTGAAAAAAGAAAAAAAAAACAGTAAGTACTGCCTAGAGTACAACTATGAAATCAGACATAGTAATATCAGCTGAGACAGACAGATATCAAGCCCAAGTTTCGTTTGAGCCACATATTTAGACCATCACAACAGTGAAATTCTTAATCACACATAGCAAACTGGCTTGATCTCAAGCAAACATTCAGCTCCCCAGCTATCCCCTACCAGCTGGGCCAACACCCTCTGGACATTGCCCACATACGTCACAAGACTGCCGGGAGGGAGCAGCAGCAGAGAAAATCTCTCCCTGGTGGGCAGGGCAGTTCTTCTGATTAACCTGCCACCCGAGCAGGAAGCAGAGCATGATAATTTTCCAGTGGTCCCTATAGGCTAGGAAGCCAATTGCCAGAATCAGCAGAAACAGAGCCCAAATGAAAACTCAGTTCTGGGAAGGGGAAGGCTAAACAGAAACTTAAGGGTAAAGTTTCTCAAGATAGCCAAGCGGATCTCCTGCCTCTCCTCCACCCTCTCCTGTTCCTCTTTGCACCTCCCTATAATTTGTCTGACCCTGCAGCAAGCTGTTTCAGCTTACCAGACCAGAAGGGAAGTAACTGGTCCCCGATATAGTAGAATAAATGGGGTTTTTGCCTAGCTGGTGGAATGAATAAGCCCACAGAGATGATCAGTGGGGCTCGCACAAGGAAGCAGTCGCTGTTGCTTGGCCAGGAGCAGGAAGGGAGGGGTGGCATGACTAATATAGACGAGTTCTCGGAAGAGCTCAGCCATCCCTAGAGAAAAGTGGGGAAACTTCTTAGCTCTGCCCCAGATATTCCCTCTGCTCTTGAGTAAGTAATAAAAATTGTTGTACAACAGTCACCTGTGCATATATACTAATCCTCTGCCAGCATTAGTCTGTTCCATAGCTTTAAGCTAAATGCTGGGAGCTACCTCCCTCAGGACTCACATGCTGGTCTTAACTGAGGCTTTGGGGCACTCT